TATAAATAAAATCAGAATACTTTAAAAATCCCTTTAGGAAATGATGTGATTTATTTCTTTGTTCCTTTCGAGAAATAGGAAATATACAGACATATATCAACAAAAACTACTAAATTTGTTTTACACAGGGTTAAACTGTTTTCAATATACACTTTTTACACACCTTCTTTCTTCAAGCAGTTCTTCAATAAACCCTGACTCACATCTTGGACATGTATACTCCTGTAAAACAAGACAGTAGTATGAGCAAACACATAAGCTAATAACTCTAATAACAAGACGTACATTCTTTGCGAAGTGTAATAATTATTGCCATTCATGTAACATTATTCCCTACAAAATACTTTCTTTGCTTCCTCACTCACAATTTACAAAGAGATAAATTGATTTATCTGCAAATGCTACATACTATTTTAACTGTAAGAGTTAATGCATCTGCAGCCAGCATTGATTAATACAATTTATTTTTCATTCAAGCTATCCAGAAAAAAAAGACTGAAAACAGACAAAAGGCAACTTTAACCTTTAATCAAAAAATGATCACATAACTGCTTGTCATTTAAATCTTACATATTTGCAAGTGACTCCACAGGCTACATCAGGGTATATGTTAAGCAACTTATGCTTAACATATACCCTAGACTGGAAAAGCTTACTTTCAGGGTTTTGGTTAAAAAAAAAGAAAATCAATTGCAAGTATTTTCACCGATTGCTTTCGTTTAAAGTGTGATGGACTGTAAATAAAACAGTTGTTTAAATGTATTTTATTCTAATGTGGTGGGACGTGTTAGTGCAGTCTATGTGCTGCTGTTGTTTCTGAAAGGAAAAATAAATAAATAAATAAATATATTAACTTGTGTATGGTTACACGTGGGTATAGAGCCTGAAAGAATAAGATCATGCGTACAAGAGGTGGAAATTAGCTTCTTTCGAAGGGTGGCTTGGGTCAGCCTTTGAGACAGGATGAGGAGCTCAGTCATTAAAGTAGGGGTCAGAGCCACTACTCCTCCATATCAAAAACAAGCTAGCTACAGTAGATGAGCATCGCAGCCTCCTAGGTGAGCTGTTTCAGGTCAGCTTAAAAAAATAGAAGATGTGTCTTTGAGAGAGAGAGAGAGAGAGAGAGAGAGAGATAGAGAGATAGAGAGATAGATAGATAGATAGACATTTTTTTTGTTATTCATTAAATCTTTGTTATTTAAAACTATTTTGGAGCCGTGGGAGCAGCCATGTTTTTTCGCACACAATGCATTCTGGGACGATGACGTGTATTGGTTGTCGGTAGTGTAGGTGCTTTCGTTCAGTTAACCCGTTTTGTTTTTTAAAGTGTAGCAATCGTATTAACTAACTTGCCTATTAGTGACCTGGTTACAATTTGGTAGAACCACCGAGATAATCCATCAACAATATAAGGTTAGTCATTAATATAATGCTGCTGCATCGGCTGGGCTAGTTACATCGTAAGGGTTTAAAAACCGAGCTTTAAAGTGATTAGCGGTAATACAAACCGTGAGAAGCCGACAGTGATCACTGACTGTTTTTAGGGGATTGTTGAGATTAAATCGAATAAGATACAAAGCATTGAAACGTGTTAAAAACACAACAGTCTTATTAAATGCAGACTACTTTGGGCCCAGAAACACGATTCATAATGTTGTGTTGTCATAATGTTATCACTTAAAGACCGGATACCGGTCATGGAGGCTAACAAGGGCCGCCCAAAGAACGTGTGGATTAAGACATACGGCTTCAAAAAGTTTTGGTGCTTTACAACAAACGCTCTCAGTCGCTGTTGCCATTGGCAAGCAATAGCCGCATAGGCACCAGTAGTTTTCCCTCACTCTCTCGTCCTCGTGTGGCGGATTGTTTTCATCTTCATCTAAACTAAGTGCTGGTTGACTATTTTCATTCTCTCTCTCGATTTGCTCTGGTTCAAACTGGAAAGGTTGAACAGAAGCCATTTCCAGTGTGCTGCTAACTGGATGCGGTGCAACCGTATGACATCACTACCCAGAGTGCATTGAGAAGTAAATAACAATGGCGACCTACTGGTAAATCGGTTTTATATAAAATGTGCTTAAAAGGAAAACATTTGGTGTATTTTAATATCACACATGTTTTATTGAAAGCACAGTACATATTTTAGCGCAAACATGTCTTAATCGCCGGAGTTCCCTTTAAGTTTTTGACATGCATTTGTCACGGTTTACAAAAACGATAAACGAAGTTCATAACATCTGTTACAAAAAAATCGCATTTACAAATCTATTTCTAATAGGAAAAATTATGAATAAAGTCATTCCCTACACATTTTCAGTATAGTTTAATTTGCATTACCCAATTCTGTTCAAGATATTTTCTGTCCCTTGTGCCCCGTTTTTATCTCAGTTAACTGAGAAGACATCAAAAACAGAAGTGGAAGTCTGACTGGTCAAAATGAAATTTTATCACATACATTTATATAGCTTACATATAATCCATCGTAATATGTACATTTATATAATATCAGTAATATCAAAACAAATATGAACAATTTTCGATATTATCAACCAACACTAGTGGAATGAATAACAACTGCAACCAGTTACACTTGAATTATGTTCTTCAAAAAAGCCAAGAATAAAAAGTCGCTAGTTGTTCACATGTTAGAGACATACACAACAGCACATTTCAAGTCATTTTCACCACCCTACACAAACCGTTAGCTGATATTTGACACTCTAAACGGCATGTTTAGCATCCTGTGACAGATCCTTTCAGCCGGACTGACAGAAACATGCACACAAGCGATTAAAAAAAACAAAACTGTTCAGTTTGAAAAGAATTTTCCGATATAATTATGAAAGTCCCGAAGTCTATAATTATAAAGATTCCAATTCTACCGTTAGTTACTGCTAGTAAGTGTAGCTAGCGGTCAGGCTAATACCCATCGAAATCCCATCAAATAAGGACCAGCATTTTTTTTTAAAAAATATTACAAATTAGAAATCCATCTGTCAGTGAGGCTTACGCAGTTTGACGTTGTATAACAGCCGATCCTCTATTTAGAGGAGTAGCTAACTAACTGGGCAGGGTTGGCGAGATAAACGCTACATCGTAGGAATCTGCTAATACCGTTAGCATGCTAATTGTTGTCCTCTTACTAAAACAATACATAAGAAAGTACCGCCGATGCCATCGCGTTTTCCGTTTGTCCAAATTTTATTCTCTACAATTTTTATCCACTACACTTACGGGAAGCCGAGGACTGATCTCTGCTGAGCATCTATGACAGAAAAACCGGCTGGGCCATGGAGGAGCTTCAGCCATCATTAGCTACTAAACAGGTAAAGAGGAAAAACTACGGAGCCCCGAAAAGGACAATCAGGACACCACGCGAACTTGCTAGAAATGACGCTGACCTTGTGAGTGAACATAAACACTTAATATTACAATGTGAGGCTTTAATAAAGCTATTGTCGACATAGAATGCAATGAAATGTTATAGTCAGTTTAATATTTTGTAATAGATTACATGGATTTGTTAAGTGTTATTTATTTAACAGGGACAATTCATGTTACTGGACTTCGATATTCCAAAAAATATTAGACGTAAACATTGTAGATCACAGTGAACTGCTGACACTGTCATATAAAAACTTTGCCATAAAAAATACAAAAAAATAAATAAATAAATAACATAGATAGAATTAAGTTAATAGTGACTGTGGATGGTGCCATAAATGTTGCCCTTGGTAAACCTCAACATTCAGTTTCCCTTACTGACAGGATGGAAGGATGGATGGATAGATAGATAGATAGATAGATAGATAGATAGATAGATAGATAGATAGATAGATAGATAGATAGATAGATAGATAGATTCCACAACCACAAGGCAAATTATTGCATTACAGCAGTGGGATAAAGTATTAAAAAAATTGTATATACAAAAATGATTACAAAAAATAAACAAAAACACAAGTTAGAGAGTAAAAAGAATTTGAATTAATAAATAGTATGTACACAATAAATATGACAAACAGCTACAAGAAGGTATGATACAGAAATATGAGTGTGAAATCTTATGCCTGTCACACAAAAAAAGAGTTATTGTATAGTTTCATGAAGAATGCTAGGAATGAGCTCCTGAAATATCATTATGGCAGTTGGGTTGAATAGATCTGACACTTATTGGTTATTAAATATATATATATGTATTACAATTAGAATGTGTGCTTTAAAAAATCACACATGTGGTTTACAAAATGCCACCACATGGTGGTGCTTTTGTGTATCAAGTGGTGACTTGAGGGTATTTCACAGTGTAGCCAGTGACTAAAGATACTACTCACTCTTGACAAGTTTCTCATTTCTGTCCCATGATAAATAATAAATATGCAGTTTAGTTTTTGCCTGTTGTAAATGAGGATTCATACTAATATGTTAGCTTAAAAGCCTTAAGGAACTGGAGACTGGTCAATATAATTACCCCCAGTGAATCTGTATCACCACACAGTGTCTCCACTGAACTCGTGTTATCCCTGCAGGTTCATTGCCCCCCTGCTCACCGTCTTCACATGACAACCAGAGATGTGTTTTTGCAATTTGGCAGCACACTAGATTTATTTTGACACATGCTACTTTTCCATTGGATTACTGTCAACCACCTTATGAGCCAACAGGCATGCTCCAAGTATTTAAAGGTTTTGTAGCATCTGTTTTTGAACAAAACTATTTCATCAAATGTGGATTTTGTATTTTTCATGTGTCAGTGTTTGACAGCAGTTATTGGAATATCATCAAGTGTCAAACCTGAGACAGAAGACAGTAAAATAAGTAGTCACTCACACAGGAAAAAATGTTGTGTTGTTTTAAATTCTTCATCAATCTGGTGGCCCTGAGATAGCAGTGAAAGGTCTCAGACATCACATAGTTGCATAAGGGCTGGAGAGCAAAATGATTGATTACACTTTGTTTTCAGGTCTGTTTTTATTTTTGAGGTTGTCAGCTAAAATGTAAGCAATATTTTTATTATACACAGGTGTCCTTAATGAGATTACCTTAACAGCAGACTCATGGCTATAAACATATCACATAAGTCTGGAGTCACATCACATGTTGACAGCAAGTAGGAGTTCCCATCTGACCAGCCATTGGCCAATCAGGTTTCTAAACCCTTCTGGCCTGATTTTTACATGAAAACATTTGCTTTCATGCTCTTGGTAACAACAGGCCTATATGCACCCAGCCTCGGGTATTTTTTTGTGTTTAGTGTTTGCTATTTTGCACAAACAACAAATAACCATGTATATCTGTAAATGTGTTATGCAAAAAAAATTCAGTAAACCAATCAATAGCTTAAAGTATGGTATGGCACAGTGAATCACTGGAAAAAAATGCTGGATGTTGCCACACAGCAAAGCTAACAATGTAACCAAGTTAGTTCCTAATGTGCTCTCTAGGTTGATGTTGTGTCTGATCTGGCCATGTGGGAGCAGGAAAGACACGACTGTCCCATGGGCTGAGATTAGAGAGAGTCTGATAGCACCGAGGTTTGCTATGTCTGCCAGACTGAGGTAAGCTATTGTCTCCCTGAACCCAGTGCGTCACTGCCATTGCAGTTGAATGCTCATTGTAGCAATGCAATCTGGGGACTGAGTGACCGTGGGTCAGAATGAGGTCATGTGGGCAGCAGAAAACAACTACCAAGAGACCTTCTACATCATAGTTTTAGGTATAGAAGTTTAAAGTTGCTTTTAAACACTGGATATTTACCCTAAAACTTTGCAATAGTTGAAAATAATTTAGTCTGTTTCTTCATGGAGCTGCGATAAAGCAGCTTTTAATGAATTAATTAATAAGACTTTTTTTTTATTAATCTGCACGCTTACATTCACATGAAGTAACTCCTAAATACAATATTTGGTATTTTCATGACCTACTTTTAATAGCTTAATTTATATTGAACTCAAAAAGACAGCAAAGTGTCGCAGCCAAGGGAGCAGACAGATATGGTGCAAGGGACACTGCTGCTTTTGTCACTCCATCAAGTTTTTCCAGACATTCCCGCCAGGATTGCCCCACACTGTTCCCCGGGGCCCCAGAATCACACTAACATACACACATAAATACACACACATGCAGACACTCAGCAATAACAGCCGCCTGCTGGAACTTCCTGGGCCTCTTAGTCATGCGTCACTTGTTTTCAGTCCCACCCATCGAAGACTCTCTCTTCCTCCAGACATACTCTGTCTGATGCCATGTGTCACAAAACTTGTGCATTACACACACACACACACACACACACACACACACACACACACACACACACACACACACACACACACACATACAGCCAAAACATTAGTGATGGTCAAAGCTCTCTTTAACAAAATAAAACTTGTACGTCTAAGAACATGAAGATATGCACAGCTTATAATCATATGTGAATCACAGCAGGCATCCCAGCGATGTTTTTCCACTCTGCATGTTTCAGGATAAACCTCCATGGTACAGCGTTAGTACATAAGTGTTTAGGATTACATCACTGAGCAGCTAACAAAATATAGATGTTGCTAGAGGAACACATGTGTACAATTAGCTACTTAGTTTCAAATGACTTGTTGTAGTGGAGTGTTTGTGGTAACTGCAGATGTTTTGGCAAACTTTGATTTTGTCTGGTTTCATTAAGCAGTTGTTGCATTAAGTCGTGGTAATCAGTCCTGATCATTAAGAGTGTGTTTTTTATGCCCTTGACCCAATCAGTGTCTTTTTGTATTTGCTTCAGTGCCATCTAACTTTGGATCCTCCTGATTTTTTCCTCAAGAACCACCATTACATTTTTATTTCTATTTTTCTGTTTAAGAACCACTGGATGAACTGTCATACACTTGCCTGGTCAAACATCAGTGTTACCACAGGAAAAAAAAAACTGTAATCATTTTCTGCATAAACTTCAACATAGAAATTTTGGGTTTGCTCGTATGATTGGAAAGGAAGAGTCACTGAGTCACTCATTCTCCATGAGGAATGAAGAGTATATTCAAATCTAAGTGGGTATTGATACCGTGAGGAAATAAGCTACAGTTAAAGTTTACAATAAAGAAACCATGTAAGTAATAGGTTGCTGAATACAGTCTCAGAACCACTGAATGTGCTACAAAGACAACATAAGCCATGTGTGAATCACTCAAGCTGCTGGAGTTTAGCAAGTTTGTCAAAGAGACAGTACAAATACATCATCTAGATGTTCTAGTTTAATGACTAAATGTTTTGAGTTGGGTAAAGTGGGAAATCCAGAGTTGAGACATTGAGACATAAAGCAAGTTAATCCCCCCACACCACAATAAAGAATATCACTATACCTTTTTAAAACTTTTTTTAAAATACTTGGTACAAAGAAACCAAACAAAAAAACCTATGTCTGATAGTCACCCCAGCTATTGGAAGCCGCTAACCTGGATATCTTGACAGTGTTATTGGTGCTAATGGCTTCTAGAGCTTATTTAATGCAGTTAGCTGGCAAATACCAGTGTGCTGCCTGATTGCACAGATTCTTCATCCAAGAAATCTGGTGAGTGAAATTCAAGTAACCCTGCAGCAGATTGGCGAGCCGTGCAGGGCGTAACCTACGTCTCACCCTATGACAGCTGGGATAGGCTGTAACCCAACCGTGACCTGAATTAAATAATTGGAAGAAAAGGGAAGGATGGAAATGTAAGCATTTCATTTGTGTGTTACTTAGTATTAATCGGAAAATATCTGAGTAGGTGCATTTTCACCCATAGTAAATGTTGCTAACCAGTCCATTGCATAGAAAACATAGCACCCTCACTTCTCGCTCAAATGTAGCCGCTGGTGTCAGCCACAATGCTACACCCCAAACTTTAAATGCAGAGTCCACAAACCAGTGGGTGACATCAAGGTCACTATATTGTTCTGTTATGTAGAAAAGTCCATGGCTTTTACATGTTTTGTATAGATGTGTAAAGGTATTGTATGTCTGTCTGCATGAATGAAACTACAGAGTGCCATAATACTCATAGAGCATCAACAATGTTTGTGTGTCTCGTACCAGCAAAAGCGTATGCTATACACCACTAGAGTGTCCGCTAAACACGGTGTCAGTTCATTTAAACCATCTGTTTGTTTATAAGATGTTAAGCTTAGCATTCTGGGGAATAGATGCCATATGAATCTCCTGAGCTTGTCGTTGGTACATTTTTCTTCAGCTAACAAAGGTTCTCTGAACAGGTGATTTAATTAGGTGTGTCCTGGTGGCTATTGCAGAAGTTCCTAATGAGCAGGAGAAATGAAATGAAAAGGCAACTTTTCCATTCTCATCTTTACTGAATTTACATGGTATGCTGTAACACACGA